TTAATACAACACCTCTGATAAATGGGTTAGTTAATTCTCTCAAATCAAAAAACAAAAGCTGTTGAAGGAATACATGGAAATGCAAAGAGCATAACTCTATACTGAACGGTTTTTTCCTGAAAAATGCCGTCATTTGAAGACTTTAAACTCTCATAATCAGCAATCCCAAGACTACCAGTATTGAAAAAAAAATGGTGTGCTTCAGAGACTTCTTTGTCCCTGGGGAAAATATAAAGTGATCGAGGATTCTAGGTGACTATTCCCCAAATCAAGGGTTAGCCCTTTACGTTTTTTTCTAGTCCCTGCAGATTAATTCCAAAAAAGTCCATCACCAACTTCATCTGCCAAACAGTCCCGTAATGGGGATCCGAACTTAAAGTCCCATTTTGGGTGAGAAACTTGAATTGTTTAAAACTTCTTTACATGGAAACTGATACCGCTGGGTTGAAAAATTCTCACAAAAACAGTGGAAAATGTCTCTCGACACAACACACTCAATCAAGTCCCACTTGGATTTACACATACTAATAATTTAAAAAAACAGTTTAAGATTTCAAAGTGAAAATTGAGAGTGAAGTTAAATTTGAATATGGCCCCTGGTGAAATGGATGTTACAACAAACTTTGATGAAAATCTTGATCGCGTAAAAACTGGGGCAAAGTGCCGAGATTGCCACATGAATTCTGATTTGCTTCATCAGCTTTATCCCCAAGGTGTAGATAATGTTTTTAGCGCAGAGGGGGCACAGCAGGAGGTTCCGTCAGATTTTACTTTCCAGTTATTTGGGCAAGGAGAGTCGGAGACAAATCCAATTAGTGTGTTTCCTGGAATTGTGTCCGGAACCGGTGAAGTATCTCCAAGGTAAATCTTACTTGACTTATCTTATAATATTGATACTATAAATCTTAAAGTACCTACTCGATGTTTGTTAACATAGGTTGATGTTATATTAAGACCTTTCTCTCCATATCTTATATACTAGAAATAGCATAATACCACATTGATAATTGCTTTGTAGGGATAGTCGTATATAATGTTTCTGGAATGATTTAGAAGATGCCACATAAACAAGTTTTTAATACATTTTGTATGACCGTAACAAAACAAGTTTTGAATTACATAATATTTTTTTTAGATTATTAAATTTGCCTCATCCTATTTAAGTATTAGACATAGTGGGAGTTTTTTAACCTGCAGCGGTAAAGGGCAAGCGATTTGAAGTGGGCAGGGAATCCCGATTTTGTGGTGCCACTATCAAGCTATGTTTTAGCTTACAGAGTGTTTATGATTCTACCTTGTTAAGACCACAGCTGTGGATTTTGGTGGTTATAATGACTGTCTTGCCTCTAATGACTCTGTCATAGGAGAAATGAGCCGCGGTCAACCACAAAAACCAACGTTATGCGTTTTTGCGACCAGCATGGATCCAGACCAGCTTGTGCATCCGCGCAGTCTGATCAGGATCCATGCTGTTCGCTATCAGTTTCTCTACTTGTAATAGGGATTGTAAGCGAACAGCATGGATCCTGATCAGAACTGCGGCGGATGCGCAGGCTGGTCTGGATCCATGCAAAGGTCGCAAAGCCATTATGTTGGTTTTGTCGTGACACGGCTCAAATATTGTCTGAATCTTGCCTTGAATCATAAAAATCAAAAGGACATGAAAAATGCAAACATGTACTTTGGTCCTCCCTCACATGATGGTTAAGTTTGCTGCCAGTATAAATATGTGTGGTCATACCAACTTTATAATACTGCATGTTTGTAACGTCCCTTTTTTTCTTTTTGGGAAAATCATGATTTTTTATATAGTTTTGTATACATGGCTGCTGTTCAAATTTAAGAGAAAAAAAAATCATGTTTTTCTTTGAAAAAGGAAGTTTGCTGAATTAAATTCAGATTCTTTTAAATGATTAAATGGGCCATATAACTTTAAAAAAAATCTTTATAACTAATAATATGACGGAGCGAGTTTTTTCTAAAAAAAGCTTTTCAAGCTTCCTGCTCAATTCTGTTACAATTAATTTTATTTTGTCAAATTATCATGTAAATGAAATGTTTAAAAATAAATAAAATATTGTTTTTAAAATAACTAATAATATGAATGTAAGTTAACTCAGCAATAGTATTCAGTAATGTGAATGCGACTGAATGTTGCTTAAAAATGATAAAAGCATGAAAAAAGTAGTTTCCATTTGTTTATCATCTAGTAGACTAAAATTGAAATACATCTTTAATAACTATAAAAATTTTGTTTTTTTATGGGGTAGTCGTATGTGACCTACCTTTAAAGAGGTGAATTCAGTACTTAGACAAATTTTCTTTTTAAAATATAAACAATACTCTTTTTGGTATTTAAGATTTTAATTAATTTGGGTAATTTACCAGGGAAAGCTTTATGTAAGTTTTCCTCCAGGAAAGAAATAATTTGAATTGTCCCCCTGGTTATTAATTGCCTTTTGTATTGAAAATTTTTTTTTCTTTTTTACAAAGTCAGAAAATTTTCGCCCTCCTTATGTTCCTTTAAAACAAGCAGTGGAAGCAGCCATTTCCAAAACACCACAAATCTATTCCACATAATGGTTTTTTGTAGTCCAATTTAAAGCTTTCTTATTTTTAATAATGAAATATTTGTTGGTTGAACCTTTATTTGGGGTTAAAATATACTTGTTGATTGATGATTTTTTGTAAATAAGTTATGATGTAATTTAATACAGCTGAATCAAACATATGTTTAAAAATTATATTATTTATTGTCCTTAAATTGAATCAAGTTCTTATTTCCCATGACAAAGGGGTTTCCCCTGGAAATAGTTTGTAATAAAATTAATTCCAATATCCAAATTATCCTTGCAGATAACGGGGGGGGATATTATTTAAAGAATAACAGTGGGGCAAGTAAAATTGTTTTTTAAAATCTTACTGAACATACAATAAAAAAAAAAGAAAATCAAAATGTGTGGATACGGTTTTGGAAATTTTATGTTTAAAAAATACAGTTTACATTTAACAAAAATCTTATCAATATTTTTGTTAAAAAGTCAAGTTAAAAATGGGTTTTCAGGCCATCTAATGCCCCCAATTTTAAGTTTAGCCGTTAACTAAACAAATACTTAGGTTTTTTCCAAAGTGCCAAAGCCTTTTCCTGAACATTTTTCCTTGATACCTATTTCTTTTTTTAAAAAATGAAATCAGAAATCCAAACCAATTTTTTCCCTTTTTATTCTAATGCCAGCCCTTTAATGCCTTTTGTTATTTAAATAAAATAATCATAAGTTAAATGTTTGTTTAGCCAAATGTGGCCCAAGAATATTTCTATTTTGAAATCCAATTTTAAAAACAAAGAAAAAATAAAATACAAGCCTGTCCCCAAGTTTTGGAAAAATTATTTTTTATTTTCCTACAACATTCAGATTTACATGCATTTTGCTCTAGGTTTTAAAATAGTCCGCTTATAATCGGTCAGCCTTAAGCTAATATTACGGTTCATTTCAGGTTGCCGAAGGCTTTATGAGTACACTTCATCTTGTAATAGCTCAATTTTATATTACAATCCACTTAAGGTTGCTCCAGGTTATATTACATCTCATTGCCTCAAAGTTCAATATTTTATGACAGTCCAGTGCACCAATATTGGTTGCCCAGTGTTTCACTAGTTGCTTAGGAAATAGATATCAATTCTGAGTGCATTGTTGTAGAATAATGCACGGTTCGAGTTCAAATGCGTAGTAATATACTCACGAAGGCCGATAGGCCTGAGTGATTAATTACAAAGCATTTGAACGAAAAACGTGCATTATTATACAATAATGCACGAAGAATTAATATCTATTTCCATTCTAACACATCAAGAAAAATTAGAATTATTATTATTATGTTGGACTTTATGTTTGGTGGTTAAATTTGTTTTCGCCTGAGAGTTTCCCATAGAAACGTTCTTTAAAGGCTGTTCCAGTGGGTTGAAAGAAACTGTTGTTAAATCTACCGTGTGTAGAAACATTTTGAGAATAACGAATTTTGAAAACGTTGGAAAAACTTTGTTTGTTTATTTTATTTCACTTTATAATTTTTCAAGCGAAATACAAATTATTAAAAGTGAAATAAATGTAAAACTTAACTCGTTTGCGACATTAGAATAGCGTACTTGATTTGATTGTTTTGCACGTGCTGTTTGGCGCTACATTGTGACCTCATGTAAACAACACTTAAAACGTCTGTACAGCGTTAACGACTGAATTAAAGATATTGGTGTTCGGATTCATTTTCTTAGTTAGTCCATTTTCTTTCATTCTAGATAGCTTTCACAACAAAATTCGACAAAAATTGTTTTTATTTATCAGATTTTTTTAAACAAAATGGCGCCCTCAATGTGAAAATACACAGGGAGATAATAAGAACGGCGAGTGCATTGTTGAAGAATAATGCACGCTTCGGGCCTTCTTTGTTTATATAGAAAAAAAATCCGATAGTGTTAGAATCAAGGTTTTATCACAACTGGATTTTTATTTCAGATCTCACTTTTTGCCAAAATTTCTATAAAAGCCAGATTTAATTTACACAGGGTTTTATTCCAGCTTGTCTGTAATTGCTTAAGATGTTTTTTTTACAGACAGCTTACATGTTACATCTACACATAAGTTTTGTAACAGTCTTACAATTATTTAAGTGGTGTAAAACATTCCACTTGATATTGCTTATTTATAGCTTGTTGGTAAATGATCAAGGTTTTAATAACCAACATGTAATTGTCAAAAGTCTGGTACAGCTGGCCAATTTATAAAAAACATCTGTCATGGTTTTTTGTACTACCTGCATGCACTTTCTTATGGTTTTATACAAAAGTTATGTAACTTATAAGAACAGAACGGAACATGAATTTTAATTTTTAGATTTGAGCATTTCACTCCTCATCCATAACATGATTCTACATTATTGTGTCATCAAACAATACAAGTATAATAATATAATATTATATAAGGATAAAAGATGGATGAAGATTCTGTTTAATTTTTACAGGTTAAACAGCAAAGGGAACGTTTAAGAAGAGCAAAAGAACCTATCTTAAGTCAGGCGTTCCCGGCTAAGATACACGGCTATGAGTTACGCATAATACAGCAGCCAGAGGAGCAACATAGAGCACGATATCTGACAGAGGGAAGTCGTGGGTCCGTGAAAAACAGGAGTGGGTCTGCTTATCCACAAATCAAGGTATACAGCAAAATTGGCAAAACTTTGTAATAATAGTATAGGTATAAGTCATATCAAAATATGATTCAAAATATGCTGTAAGTGTTACTGTCAGTACTAGTAAACTCTAGGGCCAGACTAACACAGTCCATAAATCCAGTGATCCTGAAGAAACCAAGAGAAGTCATAATTAGTAAATGAAATTGATTGTTTTGTGACATAATTTGCAATTTCACATCGTAACCTTTCAAAACTTGAATATATTTATGCCACAAAGAACAAATAATTATATATGATTTTTTTCCCCATTTTCAGCTCTTTGGTTATTCAGGGGAAGCAACTCTACAGATATTTATTGGAAATGATAGTGGACGTGTGCGGCCGCATGGTTTTTACCAGGCATGTAAAGTTTGTGGGAAGAACTCCACCATGTGTACGGAGAAAGACATAGATGGCACCACTGTCATTGAAATAGAACTGACTTCTGCCAATGACATGACAGCATCGTATGTGTATATCATTTACTCTATAAATATTGTATTACTACAAGGATATATGCATTGAATACATTGTAGCACAAACTTTTTCAAATTTTTAGCTATTAGATTTGACCTGCTTGTTCATGGTGAGCTATCATCAAAAATACATTAAATTTAGCGGAATTTTTTTTTTTGGAGATCGTTCAATGGAGGCTGGTCAGAATTCATGGCAATGTTTGATGGCACAGTTTGATCTTGTTGCCAAAGTTTAGCCAATATTGTAGACGGAGTCACTCTCCATGTTTGAGTTGTTTCCACCACGGTAGCTCTTATCATGCATGTGACAATAAACCCATGTCAAGGACATAATAAACTTATGACATTGTCCATTTCAGGCAGCTTGAAAGCTTATTATTTATGTAAATCAACTAGGGGCATCGGTCGAATGGTTATGGTTGTTGTTTTCAAACCCCTTGCCTCTCATCACTGTTGGTTTGAATCCCAACAGTAATTTTTTCATATGAGGAAGCTATCCAGCTAGCTTACAGAACATCGGTGGTTCTACTCAGGTGCCCGTTTGTGCCTACAATAATGCATGAAAGGTCTTCTTCCACCAGTAAAGCTGGCAAGTCGCCATATGACCTATTCTATGTTGGTGCTACATAAAACCCAATAAAAGATGTAAACTAACCACATTTTAGATGTAAGAGTAAAATTTCTGAACCAGTTCCACCAGCACTGTTACTCAGAATTTGGAAATGGAATTGCAAAATATCTTAATTTTGAAGTTTTACAAAATGTCTTAATTATGAAATTTAAAGTGACATCATGCTCATATTTTCATAGTCAAGTTGAGCTGAATTGACTTTATATTTCAAAAGATTGACTGTTAAAATAGTGTTAGACAAAGAGTTGATATTGGAAAACGTTCAGGATAAAATTATAAATCTGCCTAAAATCTATAAAGACTGCCCCACTCTTTTTATAAACTGAGCGTTAAATTCTAATACATATTTAAAGAATTTTATTTGGATCTGTGCATTATTTATTGTTTATGGGAAGTAAATTATTAAATTAAAAGCAATTATGGTAAAATGAAAACTTATTTTGATATTCACCTTTTCACTCACTTTATACCCTTGCAAGGATTTCTGACGATGGACAAAAGTTTTTGAAATATCTTCTTGTACTGTTAAAAATTGAAGAAACCAGTTGGGAATTTCTCACTTCAGACTGGAAGAGGTCATAATATTAATTTTAAGGATGCTCTTGTTATGGAAGGTAACTTAACAAGGGTAACAGTTCTGCAACAGGTAGTCAATTTCTTTTAACATAGATGTTAAATATTTCAATGTCCAAACATAGAAGTTATTCTAGTCTTAAAATTAGTTTAATTTACAGGGTTGACTGTGTAGGAATTCTTAAACTGAGAAATGCAGATGTTGAACAGAGGATAGGAATTGCTAAAGCGAAGAAGAAAAGTACGAAAGCTCGGATGATATTCCGTAGTGACGTTTCAGAAACCATGTGGGAACCCACAGGTTCTTCAAGTGGCATCATCCACCATTCTTTGTAGTATGTTGTTTT